GGCCGCCTGCTCCCTGCCTGCGGCTCCTGCCCTGCACCGCTGAGTTTCTGAGCTGGGCTTTTCATTTTGCATCTAACCCTCAGCCACCTCCTCCCTGTGTCCATGTAACACCCCCCGGCACTGCTCGGGGACGGCAGCGTTTCCCACAGAGGGTGCCCAGGACCGGGGCAGCCCCCCATTCCTCCTCCTCCTCCTCCCGGAGCTGTTGCTGTAACCCCTCTCTCTGGCTGTCTCCCTCCAGGCTTGGCTGACAGAGATTCATGAATACGCGCAGCAGGATGTGGTCCTCATGTTACTGGGAAACAAGGTGAGCCCGGCCCCACGGCTTCGCCAGAGCCTCCTCTTCCTCCCCTGACGGTCCCACGGCAGAGCCCCTCTGCAGCTGTGGGCAGGGGAGCCTGGGAGGGTGTAAGGGGATGTGGGGGTTGCCTCCTGCTGACCTTCCAAATGATCCCAAATTGCTCTTTGCCATTACTGTCGGCAGGTGGATTCAGCCCAGGACAGAGTGGTGAAAAGGGAAGATGGAGAAAAATTAGCCAAGGTACGCGAGGTGCCCGTCCGCTGCAGCGGAGTCGGTTGTTACGTGCTCTGACAGGGGATGTGCAAGAACAACAACGCGTACTTGATGATGTACACCGGTGAAATGGTTAACTGGACACCAGTCTGACCCAGAATATGTCTGGGAGCACTTGTCTTGCTCTTCTCTTCCTCGTCTGCCCTTCTTCCTCTAAGCTTCCGCTAACGTTTTTTGCTGCTTTGTTCTCAAAAATTATTTCTGAAGTTGTGTAAGAAACGCCTGAGCTGTGAACCCTCGCTCAGCTTTTCCTGCCCACGCGGCAGAGTCCCTCTCCCGGGGTGGGGTATCAGCTCACGCAGCAGGCGCCGATGTCGGCCGGGGCTGCCAGGGCTCGGTGCGAGCCGGGAGCTCCCGAGCCCCCGGGGACACCCCAGGTGACGTTTCTGACGCCGGTGTGTCTTGTCCCGCAGGAGTACGGCGTGCCCTTTATGGAGACCAGCGCAAAAAGTGGCCTCAATGTTGAATTAGCGTTCACAGCCATTGCAAAGTAAGTGACTGGTGCGGCAGCCGTGCTGGGCACCTCTCCCGCGGGGGGGGACAGCAGTCTTCAAGATAAAAGGCTGGCACTGTCGCCCACCTTCTCATTCCCTGGGCTCCCACCTCCAGCTCTTGTGCTGCCATCTCACATGAGCTATGAAGTGTCTCATCGGGGGGAGCTTTAACAAACCATCTAGACGAAGCCGAGTTTAACTGAGCTGGGCCAGGCAGCTTAGAAGCAGGCAGCGTAGGTGGAAAAGTAACATGTTTTTCCCCTTCCCGCAGGGAACTGAAGCACAGGTCCGTGAAGCTGCCCAACGAGCCCAAATTCAAGCTCCACGACTACGTGAAGAAGGAAGTGAGGGGCTCGGGCTGCTGCAGGTCCTAATGCGCTCGGTGCATTTGTACAGAGACTCATGCCCAGTGTTTGTGCGCCGCGCTCTCTCCTCGTGGACAGTGTGTGCATGTCTGTCTGTCGTTGTCTGTGTCTGCCTGAAAGGTGAGCCGAGACATGGGGAAGGGAAGCAGCAGCAAAAAA